AGAACCTCAGCATGTAAAGGCTCGGAATGGTTCTGACTCCTTAGTCATTGACGGTTGTCCCCAGCAGCCTTGCATACAGCGACTGGTTCGAAGTTGTGAAGGTTTTAAATCTTGACTTGCCCCCTAGATTTTATTTTTTTCTTGATGAGCCAAATGAGTCAACACCTAGCAACAATTCATACACGATTCCGCATTATTGCACATGGTTTAGGCTGATAATGGCTTCATCTGGCTTATAACCCCAAAAATCTCAAAATTCAGTAATTTTCGCAAAATGCCTGGAATTTTTCTGATTCGTTTTCAAAACTCAAACAGTTTTAGGAGGTTTTAGCGTTAAACTCTACATAATGCTAAATTTAGAGTGCGCCATATCCACAGGGAGTTGAGTTATGGAAGTAGTTGCAAGACTTATCTAGCCTAATACAATCAATTTTTCCAAAGATCAAAAGGAAAGAGCAAGTAAGTATAAGCTACTCGTTAATTCAACTGGCTTGGCGGCTGAAAGGCGGGAGTTCGTGACCTAATTAAGGCTAGGATAGTGATGTGATCAGAAAGCACGCGCTTGAGACACGCAGACTACGTTGCGGGTGCGAACGGACTTAATTGGGTCAAAAAGCCTCCTTCCAGCCGCCAATCCAGTTGAATCAAATGTTAGCGACCACAACATGCCACAATGTAATTGTAAATCAGAATAAATGCAAAGATTAAAATGCAAATGAAAAAAGAATAAATTCAGTATGGCCTTTCCGCATCTTGCTTTTGCCCATACCCGAATAATTTGTTTGACGATATTTGTCCCTTTGCTGAATGTACGAAATGATGGCAAAACAAAAGAATTTTTTTGAAAATTTCTCTAACTTTGAATTAGAACCAGCTTTATTATAATTCCAAACGATGTCGCTGTTATCCAAAGTATTATCGAGATAATGTTAATATCCTTTTACGTTTGAATCAAGTGTTGTTTAATGGAAAATAAATTTTAAAACTCATTATAATATATAAAGATGCTACATCAGTTTGAAAAATTCTTGTAGCTGAAATGCTACCAGCTAAAAAGTTACACTTTAGCTTTCGACACCGCAATCCATGCTCAGCTTCACTTGAGATGAAAGAAAACTGACGGAGTTTACATTTTACGGATTTTTTAATTTCGAGAATCTAGCTGTATATGTGAATAATTCACTAAACTTGCTGTATTGTAGAAATATCAGGTTGATGCACATTTCTTGCACTAAAAAATAGAAAAAAATAATTTAAAAATGCTTCAATACTTGTCAACTTACCTAATATGCTTTTTATTGTGTACATCAAAAGTGGTATCTTATAGTACATTCTAAAATATCATGAAGAAAGTTCGTGACTATTCGCAAAGACCTCCAATCACTACCAGCTTCTCTTAGTAAAAAACAGCATGTCATGAAACATAGGCCAAAAATAATCTAAAATCCTCCAAAAAGGGCAAGATTTGCTCTTTGTGCTGTGCGCCAAACCAGAAGATTTTGTAAAAGCTGGATGAACCAGAATTTTAAAAATTTTGATGTAAGAATTATGCACCAGCCTACTAGATGCTAGCTAAAATAGTCGGCAAAGATGCTTAGACTTCGCATCGCATACTACTCCTGACTAAAAAATCCATGAAGAAACTTCATGTAACTGTTAACGTTCCTTTCGATGATTAATTCAACCTTACGATAATCGTATGTTAAAACTGGTTACGAACTACTACGACTTTTACAAATGGTTGACCAGAACAAGTGTTCAAAACGGATTGGCGATGACGATGGGCTGATTCACAAGTTTTAGCAGCAAGTTACCACCCAGTAATGAGCCAACACGCAAAATATTGGCTTCAGTCGATTAAAGACATGATCTAGTTAAGAATATATTAGGTTGTTTCTAAGTTTGTAGTGTTTTGTCAACGAAATAACAGAATTTTAGCAAAATTCAGTCAAAAATGTTTGTTACATTGCTGCGCGCGCAATCTCCTGCCACCATGCCATCAGATTTTCATTTTCGTTTTTCTAAAACTCAGGTGGTCTGGCCCCGAAAATGTCGTTTAATCAGTGCCTGAGATCGTCTTCAGAATCAAAACAGGCGTCGTTCATACGATCTGTGATAGACTGGAACAGATGATAATATTGTAGAGCGAGATCTCAGGAGTACATTGGATACTAATGTACCTCCCCGGTCAAGTCTTGCAAGACAGCTATGGCGACGGTTGCCATAGCGGGCAAGTATTGTAAGCATTGCCAAGTATTGTCGCGCAAAAAGCTCACTGAACCTGTTTATTAGACCTTTTCTGCACTTAGAATTCGTTTAGAGTATGCAGTCGGGTTGCGTAAGATATGGGACGTCTCGTTCCTGCCTAACAATTTTCAGGGCAGAAGCTCCTGCACAACCTGCAAAAGGTCTTGTGCAAGGGACATTCTGCAAACTCTTTGTTTTTTGAAGCAATCCAATCCTTTTTTTCTCATATTGACGAGAAAACGCCACAGTCATTGGCAAAAAAAATCTGCTCAAAATGCATTTTTTTCACGAGAAAAAAATGAGGAGGTGCCGAAAATGCTTTTTTTGCCTCTTAAGAAGTCCTTCTTTGGAGGCTGTGGAATTAAAGCATATCAGCTTTCCATCAAAAGTAGCCAGTTTATTTTGAAGAACATGATCAGCTTTTTCACAATGATATACGCATCTCGCCGCAAATAAGCCGCTCCTCAAAGAAATGAGGACAGAATGAAAACTCTACGAACTTACAAAACGACCTAATATTACAAAACCAAATCTAATCATTAATCAAATTCAAAATGGCTAAGAGTACCAAAACAAGCCAGAAAAAATATTCTTGCCTCAAATTTTTGCTCAGAAATTCTCATGGTTCAATTATTGCGAGAACCCGCGGCTTTTAACAATGCCTTTCGGCAGTCGCGGACCTTGAATTTCTGGGCTAACGATCCGCGGCCATAGACTTGTTTGCTTGGCTACCCGCTGCTCGATGATATCGCGAGGGAAATCCCCCTTCCCTAGCTGTTTTATCGGAACCCGCGGCCCAAAAAAACACTTGGGCGATCCCCGTTCTTGTAGGGGCTTTGCATATTTGGTTTTTGGACAAGCTCCAGCCCTTCAGACGACGGCCCGACAAAACCACTTCGGCGTGCCAGGGTCTTGCTGGACTCGCAATTTTTACAAGCTGTGGGAGAAAATGTTACTTGCGTGAGGTACACTGTTTTTGTTTGTTTGCATGTGTTTAGGAGACAAAAATGGTAATCAAACTGATATGATATTTATGTCATCTGCAGTCTCCCATACCGGGTTGTGATGTTACTTTTGGAAAAAGAAAAGTGCACTAGTTGCCGTACATGTTGTTACTCTAGCTATAATCCACGGTGTCCTAAAAGTATGTATAAACTGTTTGATCGCTAATATCTCTTCTTCCTAGAATTCTTTTTCATACATCCAAGTACCACTTTGTAAAGCTGGCTTCACTTACGTTTACAATGCGGAGCAAATCACCGACAGTTCTTATTCACTGTAGAATTACGGTAGGAACTTTAAGAAGGGTTGCCATTGAGGATTCATTCCTCACAACTCTTGCACTCTCGGCCAGTAAGATTTGCTGAAACCAAGTATGAAGTTTGCATTTTACCGCATTGCTTCCTTCATAATTTATGTCAAATAAACCGCAATAGCTATCTTTAGGAAGCCTTTAAAGTTGTGATTACACCGTTTGAAAATCTAAAAAACCAACAAAATTGAGTTATGAAATCAGCACGAGTAAAATTCCTTATACACCACTTTTCAGGATTTTTAAGAGCATTTGAAATGCGACTGACACACAAAGACGCTGAGAGCCAGCGTTCCTACCGTAATCCTACAGTAATGAGGAATGATCTGCAATCCGCTCCATACTGTGAATCTAAGTTGTAGCCACCTCTACAAGATGGTACCTAAACTTAGGCAAAAAACTTTTTAAAAGAGAATTATCAAAGATTGAACAATAATAAACATGCTGGCTTTATGTACTTTAAAACCCAAAAACGAATTTTGCACGAAAGATTCGCAGACAGTACTGCTTAAATTCTTGAGGTCACTAATGAAAATGCCTCGACTAATGGGAATATTGCTGTCAAACATTTTCTTAATGAAGGACACTACCAATAGTAAAATGCAGCTTTGACCTCACATTATCGATTATTTGAAAATTATACTGAGGATTTCATTTATTGGAGTTTCCTCAACTTTGCACTGGAATTCCTACCAAAGCGCATGTTCAAATGTTCAAATGTTTTCCAACAAGTTCCTCAACTAAATTGCGGAAGTAAACATATTTGAGACACTTAAAATTCACCATAGATCTGTGTTTTTATCATACCAAACCAATACAAGCTCAAAAAATATTTTCTTCCGAGTTCTAGACTCGTCTGTTGCTGACCACTTGAGTTATTGAGTACACTTGCATGTGTTCTTTTCTATAAATATTAGTTTCATAAGATCAAAACAGATGTTGGTATATAAGCAGGTGTGCATGGCGGGGTGCATGCATCGTTTCAAACGATTAGAATTCATCTGTTGTGACCTCCCACATCAGCTAAATACTTGTCTAATTCTTGATCAAGATCAATAATATTCCCTCTCTAACCATATAAAAAGACTGTGCCAAATCATAAACAGAATGCCAACAACATCTTTTGCTCAAGCCTATCTAAATTCCTCTTTTGTAAGGAAACATGCATTATTTATATTAGATTGAGGTCATACCTGTCAAAATTCAAAACAGCATTAGCTCAAAGCTCTCTCCCAACGCACCAATCAGCGTCATCGATTACGGTAAAAGCACGGTCTGAGCTAAGGTTCACAGTTGTATTGCTGGCTCATGAACAAATGTTATAACCGTTCGAACAACAGATTCATTTGAGTTCCCCTACCACTTCCGCATAAAAAAGACAACTCCATATTTGCCTTCGCATTGCTTCCGAAATCTTCTACTTCAAGGTCAATAGGCAATAATGCGTGCTTGGATGCTTACTATCTGCGTTCTGATGTTCACAGCCGTGTGCTTCACCATGGCGGAACCTGTGCCAGTGGATGCGGCAGAAGCGAAGTCGGACGTCAGGTAACAAATTTCTTTCTCGAATTTCTTCAAAACAGCTGTAAACAGCATCCCATACATCGAAAAATCTGAACTGAAATAATTTACGTTTCAGCAGCAATGTCCGCCGAAAGAGACAATTTCTGTATGGATACCCCAGCTACAGTACGTATTCATATTACCCCAGCTTTGGCCGTCTCTATTATCCCTCCTTGTCTATATGGGGTTGACCGAGGATAACGCAAAATGACACCCTTATCCTATATCTTTTTCATTTTTATTCGTATTTGCTTGTACTATGATGTAGTTGATGCTGTAGATTGCTGTAGATGTACTTGTAGCTGTAGATTCATGATACTGTGCAGTAAAATAACCAAATAAAAGTAAAAAATTGGTGGAACAAGGCAAAAAGACTTGCAGAATTCTGTCGTACTCTAGAAAATGACGCTTTCAAAAATTTCTTTGAACACTGAAAACTCTTACAAGTTTTGGAAAGTTTTCTCATGCTATCACCCATTTGAAAATAAAGGGGAGCAACTTAGTTGGTAGAACTTTAAGTAAAGTTTCAAAGAGGTTTTCCTGAAGATAAATAGAATTCTACAAGAAATTGTAGGATTATTTTACAACATAATCGATAATTCACTAACCCATGTAGAGCACTTTCGAAAACTTCACAGCCTAATTCCGGTACTAAAAAGTTCTTTGTTCCCAGGGATAAACGCTTTGAAACTGAAAATACATGCTTACAATTCTTCCACTCATCTCTCCCCCCCCCCCTTTTTGGGCTCTTCCATCAAACACTAGTTTGTAGAAACCCACAGCTCACCTCTGCCCAATTTATTAGGTTGTGTAATAAGTTCGTTGGCATTTCTTGTTTCAATTTTTCTCAGTATTTTACAAAGCATTTGGCATAGTGTTAGTATGCGCCAGTTATTATATTCCCAGTTTTTGGAAACTTGAATGAAAAATTCCACTTCAGACCAAAAAATCTGAAATGGCGAAAAACCCATTTTCGACAGCTATGTTATGCAGCGTCTTGAATGAGTTTGAGCGTTTAAGAGACAGCTCAAAAATTTTGCGACATGCGAAAATAGATTACCGTAGCTACCGCAGATTACTTGTAGGCGCTAAAACATTTCAAAAATTCATACCGTAAGTTCAAAAAATAGGTTTTTTTCTATGTCTCTTTGGCGTCAGTGTTGAGCATCTAAAGGCATTTTGAGGAAGGGTGGTAGACGAACAATCTAGGAATTGGAAAACGAACAATGTGCCATATGATCGCTAAATCATTGAATAAATGGGTTAGGTAGTGAAAAATTTAGAATTGGGGGAGACACAACCCACGGCGAGACAACAAACACCGCTGCGGCAAAGCCTTGCTACGCCGACTTTTGCAAAAAATGCATTAATCGGCCGGTGAAAAGAAGTGGACGATCATAAACAGTTTCAGTAAGTGCATAAATGATTAGTCAGTTGTTTTTCTTCATTGTCAAGCTTTTTGAACAAATTTCAACAATGAATGACGAGAAAACCAAGAAGGAAAAAAATATCGAAAATGGAATTTTTGTCTTCTCAAATTTTTCGTTGCGCATTAAATTTTTGTTCAACTTTTCAGGAACTGAAAATATAATAACAGAAGTCTGATAAAGCATATTTAGCTTCTGATCGCATGCTAACGTTTTGCCGAATACTTTGCAGAATATCGAGAAAAAATCAAAATAAAAAATGCGAACGAACTTATTACACAACCTAATATAATGAGGTCAAAGTATGTCTTCGCCCTTATCCGGACAACTCATAAGTACTCGCTGCTTCCTTGTGGAAACCTGAGAAACGCTCGGAAAGAGGTGTCAACCGAAACTCAGGTACTTGGTAAAAGTTTTTGGCGTGCCCCAATAGGACAACAAGATCACAGTAATAACGCATTTTCTCGAGATTTTGTACTGTGATTAGCTCTCATTATAGATAGCTTTAATTTTCCCGATAAGAACGATTATGTGATTCTAATCACATCTATAAACATGTTTACGTACCGACCTAACCTAGAAATCGCACATAGTCGATTTGAGAAAGGAAAAGTTAATTATAAAACGCTACTCCTATTGAGAAAGTCCGAAAAAAAAGCTAAAGCAAAAAATCTTCCCAGCGCTTTCTAAACCTCGCCTTTTTCGCACAAAATATTTTTTCTTCTTCGCTTACATTGCCATGACTTTTTTGCTTATAATAATAAGCTCAGGCATGTTAGTCAGAAATTTTTGGAATTGAGGTTGTTCGGATAAATCCAGCATCATAAAATTTGAAAAAAAGGGAGTGCTTCGCTGTGGTTTTCCTAATAATAGTTAAGCGTTAATATAGCCGTGTCTGCGAATCTTGCACCAATTTTTTTTACGAATCCATTACTTCTACAAGAGATGTCACCCCGCATCGGTCGTGCGTGTTCACACGCTGATGCTGCGCGCGCGCCGCATGCGGCGGAAACGATACGAGAGCGTGATTGTTGGGCTGCCTTCAGACTTGTGGCCGCTATGGGCTCACCTTGCTCTTCTCATGGTTACGTTTTCCTTTATGCGACTACATTTGCTTACGTGAGTTTACGTCTAATTGCCGTTTATGCGCTTGCAATATGACATGTTCTCGCTGTTCAGATGATACAGTTTTCGTTGAATTGATACAACGCTGCCAGGGGTTGAATTTTTGTTTTGGTTACTTGTAATGTTCCTGGAGCGAGAACAATGATGAGATTGCGTAACTGAATTCGCACTCGAGTTGTGATATGCCGTTGTAGTATCTTTCGATGTGTCCCTTCGACTGCTGTCTACAATCATATCGATTGAGTAGATCTTTGGTCGTGGTACACTACATATCACATCGAGAAAGGGACAAACTTAGTCTAGTGGAAAGGTCCACGACCGATGCGGCGTGACATCGCCTATAGGTTGTTGGATGCGAAAACCATGATTGGCAAGGAGGAAAACTCTCAAATAATATAATCCATTCATGATAGTCAAAATTAAGTACAAAATTTGATGAAGCCTAAGTTTCTAGCATTGCGTCTTGTCATTTATTCTTTCAGGTAAAACCAGGTATAAGAGTTAAAAAGCAAACATCTTTTTGATTTTTTTGATTCTCTATGTTTAACAAGATGCACCATTTTTTGCATTATAGAATGTAGAACGAAGGTAGAATTGTTTCTGCGAACATACTGAATTTTTTGGCGTTGGCCTTAGGAAAAACTTACTGTTTCGTCGCGATTTTTTCGAGCGTACTTGCTAAGATCCCTTCGAAAAGTGTTTTTCCGGAAAGTTTCATGTTTTACCAGAATGATATCAACATTAAAATATAGACAAAATCGAAAATTTCTGTCATGCACTAATTGTAGGTTCACAAATCCTGTTGCGATGGTATTAGGACCGCTTTAAAATACTTTTTGAATTTTTGTGTTCTTCTGATTTCTTTTGCCACTGGCTTTCCAAAAATGAGCAAAAAAGCGCTTTTTTCGACATTTTTTCGTAAGCCCAAAATCCCAAAATATGACTATTTTTGATTTTCTGACTACTAAACAGCTAAACAATTCTGCAAAAACTGTCAACAGGAGGCTTATCCTTACGGAAAAGAAATTTATGGGCCACAGAATAAGCAAAACCACTACCCATTTCAAAGCGCCGAAATCTCAATCTAGATAATCTTATATATAAAGCTGAATGTCTGTTTGTCTGTATGAGTCTGCACCGTCTGCGCCCCAGACAGGTTCCCATGTGAACCACCGCGCGAACGCCCACGACGCCGTTTGATCGACTCATTTCAACTGTTTTACTTTTTCTAGACGAATTTTGCAAAAATTTTCGCAGTTTTGTCCTCTCTTATGCTCCTTACTCCTCTCTCACTCTCTCTTACATTCTTTTTCCTTCCAAAGTGCTTCCATTCAATTACAATGCTTTATGCTGCTGCTATAACAAAGTTATTTTTCTACGTATTAATTCTGTTGTTTTGTTTTAGTAGAACGTCATCTAATGCATTCGTACGCTCGTTATTCGAAGCCACCGACTATTTTTTGGGTGTTGTTTTGTTTTTGCGTGAAATATTGGTCTTATACATACTATAGTAAATCTGTCATTGTTTTCTTAGGTAACCGTTATGTCTTCATCGAAAAATCAGTGAATGATCTTCCTGTAAATATTCTGAAAAAAAAAACTACCTCTTAGCTCTTCCAGGTAAAAATACAATTAAATCGCTTTCAAAAAATTTTCAATCTGTTTCTAATCGTTCACATATTTTCAAGAGCAACTCACTATTTTCAAATACAATGACAGGTATACCATTATACTCATGTAGTAAACAAATATTTTACGCAAAACAAAACAACACCCAAAAAAATAGTCGATGACAACGAATAACGAGCGTACGAATGCATTAGATGACGTTTTACAAAAAACAAAACAACAGAATATGATGGTACGTAAAAAAATAACGTTGTTATATCAGATAAAGCATTGCATTTGAATGAAAGCACTTTGGAAGGAAAAAAATGTAACAGAGAGTGAGAGAGGAGTAAGGAGTATAAGAGAAGGAGAAACTGCGAAAATTTTTGAAGAATTCGTCTAGAAATAGTAAAGCAGTTGAAATGAGCCGATCAAACGGCGTCGTGGGCGCGCGCGCGGTGTCCACATAGGAACCTGTCTGGGGCGCAGACGGTATGTCTGTACGTGTTCCGATTAGAAAATTCAATTTTTGAAACGATCCGGATTAAACCTGGCACACATACACTTCGAGGCGGGGAGAGTGTCATAGGCTACTTTTAATCATCGATCGATATCGATTTTATCAATTTTATCGAATTTTTTGCAAAGTGTGAGCTACGGGGCTGGGAGTTGGCACAGGGTGTAATCGAGCATGCTGATTCGAGTACAATATTAGTTCGGCGCTATTCGGCTATCCGGGCCCCAAAATTTTTTGTCGTAGAGCTTGCTCAAACTTCGTCTATAAGGGTTATCTTACATGCTATTACAGAAATCACACTTTTTTCGCAGAACGTCTCCCATGTGGTTACAATAGGTGTACGGTTGGAAGTCAAAATCATGAATTTCTGGAATTCGGTCCAAAAGGCTTATTCTACATGCCTGATTACGATTATCAAACTCTTTTTGCATATTGGGACCTTTTCATAGAGTTATGGTGGTTATACGGTGTTGGATCGAATAGTGCTTTGAACTTCGTTTCATTTAGCGCGCTG